TTATGGGATGATTTCTGTGTGTCTGAAATCTATAAAATTTTCCCATTCTCACTTTAAAATTAAGATTCCTTGGCTCTTATTAGTTCATGGAGATCCAATTTTGAAAGTATATTTATGGATGAGTGAAGTCAACATTGTCTAGTGAATAAACTTCAGAAAACCAGTAATAAAATTTGAGTTTCATTTCATAGGTTTATCATGTAGTAGCTATGCAACTTTGGACCAATAACTCAATGTTTCTGAGATTCAGTTTCCTATCCACAAATGGCAGAAATTTTATATCCTGCCATTAGTCACATACAGGAACTTGTAAAGATTAAATAAAACAATGGATATGAAAATGCTTTTTCATCGCTGATTCCACCATTTAACATTGCTCCACATCCTATTTCTAGAATTTTATTATTTTAAGACAATATTGTAAAATCGCTCTCTGGAATTCTTGTATTCATAAAGTAACTTATCACCAGTTAGATATCAGAGGCCTCTTTCTCCTCAGGACAAGAATTTTGATTGCTTACTGTTTCCTCTTGCTCTCTTGTTTTCATTCATCATTTCTACTTGGAAGTTGTGCTGCTGGCCATAAAAATAAGACTTAGGGTTGTACATAGAACCAACTCCTTATTATTGTAAATGTTGCAAAAATGATAATGTATAAGAATCAGCAAACAATATAAAGAGTCTTTATATTTTCCTATATCTGTAATGGTAATGTATAATAAGCAAAAAAGTTAAAAGTCTAAAATCACTTTTTATTTGGGTTTAAAATTATATTTATGCATATATATGAATAAACATATCACATCTATACTAGAAATTCATCAAAACAATAAAGATATCCCTATAGCTATATTTAGTTCGTCATCTTTCCTCACTTTTGAAACAACAAATAAATTTCACCATTTATTTGATTGTTGCAAATGATCTCAGTAAAGCAGACCTGTCTTCTTTAGGTTTTTGAGTTGTTTCTCCTGGCAGAAAGGCAGTCAATATATTTATTAAAATATTATCTTTATGAATTAATTATTTTATTAAAACACATATTTTACTATGTCAAACAAATCATAAAAGCAGCAGATTAAGTAACAAATACTTGAAAGCAAGATGTTTACAGATAATTTATATGTTTTGAGTTATACATAATTAACTTACATATAATAAAAATGTTTATCCCCAAGAAGATTAGGTATATATTGAAATGGGAAGTTATACAGAAAAATCTCTTTGAAAATGTTAAAAGTTAGAATTATTTTCATAGAATTTTAGTTTTATGTATAATGAAGTAATCTTTTTACATAAACTTGTATCAGTGCCACCACTCTTAATTACTATTACATTACTCATAAGGAAAGATTACATTGTGCACTGATGTGGAAAGAAGAATTTTGTTTAATTTGTACTTTTTCCAATAAAAATTAAATATTTCATAATTTTTAATATGTTATGTTTTAATTACTCATATGTTAGCAAGAAATATTTTTTGATTTGATTTTGCTGTGATTCTGCTTCTAAATTTCCACTTTGACCCCAAAAATGGTATTATGCTAAAGCTTCAGTGCTTTCAAAATGAACAGCTCTAATGTAAGAATTAGTACCAGTTCTGCATCAATTTCTTATTTTAATCGTGGAGTATTGGGATTATATTTTAACATTTCTAGCTGTCTTTGTGCAATTTTTTTTTTTCTGTAAGTTCTTCACATGAAACCCAAAGATTATACCCTTACTTAATATGGTACTCTTTAACAACTACTTTGAGCAGAACCGGACTTCCTGAACCATGAAGAAAACAGTGAAAATGTTATATACTCCTTCCCAGAGTGTAATTTATGCAACTATAACCTCATCGTGTTCGTTATTTATTGCTGTGTAACAAAATACCCCAAAATGTTGTAACCTAATAAAACAAACATTTATTATCTCATATGGGTCACTAATTTAGGAAAAGCTTAGGTGGGTAGTTCTCATTTAGAGTCTGTAGTAGACAGAATTCTGAGATGGCCCCAAGCTTCCTGACTCCTAGTATTCAAACATTTATGTAATCCTCTTTTAATCAATAGAATATGGCAAAAGTGAAAGGATTTTCCAGATATGATTAAATCTCTAATCTATTGTCTTTTAGTTGATCAAATGGAGATTATCCTTTATAGGTCTAACTTATTTGGACGAATGACCTTGAAGAAGCAAGCCACCATGAATTCTACAATTGCAAGGAAATAAATTCTGTCAGCAAGCATCTTGGAAGAATATCCTGAGCTCCTTAAAGCAGTGAAGCTTAGCTTTAATTTAGCCTTGTGTAACCCTCAACAGAGAACCCTCCTAAGCTGTGTCTGAAATCCTGATTCATGAAAAATATAAGATAAGAAATATATGTTGTTTTATGCCATTTAATGTGTGGTAATTTATTAAATAGCAGTAAAAAACTAATACAGGGTCTTTCCTGAAGTTGTAGTCAAGGCATCAGCTCAGACCAAAGACATCTGAACTCTTGACCAGATTGATGGATTCTCTTCTAGAACAGCCTACTTAATGTGACTATTGTCTCAAGGCCTCAGTTCCTTGCCATGTGAACTTCTCCATTAGGCTTCTCGAGTGTCCTCAGTACATAAAAGTAAGTTTGTACCTTTCCATAACTGCCTCATTTACACTGTGACATGGTAGCATGGTTTCCTCCAGAGTGAGTGATGAGGGTGGGGGAGGAGAAAGAAAGGTTGAATATGTGCAACATAGAATTCACAATTGCTTTATAAACTATCTTGGAAGTAATGTCTTACCCTTCTACAATTATATTTGCCAGAAATGAATCACTAAGTCTATGCTACATTAAGGGAGGGGGTACAAAGCTCCAATTTTCCAAGAGAAATATCAAAGAATCCTTGGATATATCTTAAAAACTATTGTAGGAAAGTTTGATATTTGAGTGTATAAAATAAAATGACTATGGACAGATTAAAAGAGAAAAGACATACAAATTTATTGCATGCACATGTGTGCACACAGGAGTCATACAAAATATGAAACTCAAAGAAGAGCCAGATGACTGAGGTTTTGGTTTCATAGAGAAAGGAAAAGAGTGTTGAAGCATGGTGACAGGTTGTGAAAATGGGAGGGGAGGAAAGGCATGGTGAGAAAAGGCTTTCTTGTGATGTAGATGAAGCTTCACCAGTAGCAGTCCTGAGAAAGAATAGACGGGAGCCCATAGTAAAATGTTCTCTGTGAAACTTCTAAAAGTTTCAGATTTTTAGTCTCCTTTTCTGTTAATCACTTCCTAGATTCAGATAAGGCAAATAAGTGTGGGGGGTGGGGTCAGATAAAGCCTATTTGCATCTGCTGTTTATTTCACTAATGTAGATTTCCTTTACAGATGCAAATCTCTTCCACAAAAGGACAGCTTTTCATAGCTATTCCTGTGTCTGCAACCCCTCTAAATAGCCATCTCAAAATATACCAAAGAAACATATTTTGCTGTGGCATATTTTGGTTTCCTTCACCACTAAACTAATATTTAGCTTTTTGGCTCTTTGAATTTCATATAGGTCTTGGAGTAGTAGCCATTTTAGCACTATATTTTAATTCTAAAATTAGTAAGATTGAGATCCAGCAGCATTTTATTTTTCATTATCTAGAAACTTTGTTTCCTAAACAATTCACTTATATACAAATGTTTTTCTGTGTATTCATAAAGCATGGTATTTATTTTCTTTCATTCTTATCTATTCTTTATATTAACTTGACCCAAGTAGGTTCTAATCAAGAAATGTTCCCATCTCAAATGACTCACTTGGCAGGCAAAACAAGTTAACTGCCAATAAGAATAAGAAGAGAGTAGGGTATCAAAGAGGATGAAGTTAGAAATATGAGTTGTTTCATAATTTTTTAAGCTAAAGAAATTAAGGATATCATTCAAAAAATCAAAATGTTCTGCATTTACATTAATTAGTGACTAAACTTTACCAGATCTATTAATTTTTATAGAAGAAAAATTTATAGATATTAAAGTATTTTATAAATATATTCATTGAGTTAAAATAAAACATATTACTTGAGTGAGAAAATTGCTGGTTTAATTTCCTTAAAGTACGTTTTCACATTAGGAAATTAAATATTTCTGTCCCTCAGAGTTCAAGGTATGTGACATTACAGAAATTAATGCATTGCTTTTTTCTCAGTGCAGAACTTTATGTCTCTAGAATATAAAACACTGTGATTTCAACAGTAATTGTGAGAATGCAGGAGCTGCTATTTAGTTTTGGATGCTAGTTTTGTTTTCCCTGCATGAATTCATTCACTTATTCATTCAGAAAATGATATATAAGAAGTGTGTACTCTGAATAAGGCAATATGAAAGGCACTAGGGATATTTATATGATATATACTGCTTCTTCCTTCAAAAACTGTGGTCATGGTGCAATAAGAGCATAAGAGGAATGCCTTCATCTAACCTATGTGAATCAGGAAAGGGTTGGCCAGGGTATTAGCACTTGAAATAAGTCTTAGATGCAGAGAAAATATTTCATAAGCAAATCAATGCTGGAAGAGCATTCAAGCAGAAGGAAGGCAGTGAGTGAAGTTGAGAAAGAGGAAGGGAGAGGAAATTCAAATAGAAATTGTCAGTGCAAAATATTGGGAAATCTGATCAGAAACCCAGTTAAAAACCAAGTCAAAGTAAATCTTCAGATATCGCAAAAGAGGTAAAATGTTTGTATTGCTGGTGCATATTTGGAAAGTAAAAAATAGCATAATCTTACTTTTCTAAAGAACCTGGAGTTATTGTGCTATTTTATGAAGAAGGGATACTCCATAGCCAGTCAGCATATTACATTAAGTTAGAGTCCAATAAAATAGAAATGACTGAGTACATATCAAACTAAAGAAGAGTTGTTAATACTTTAGATAAATTAGCTTAACTATGCAGTAGACACCTTGTTTCTTGGATTTGGCAATACACTTATTTATTATGGTTGAATCTAAATGTTTGCTTGCCAATAACATCTGTGTCATCATTTCTCAAAACAACTCAGTTTTTATTCATCTATTCATTCACAGATTACTTATTCGGTGTTTACAAAATGCTGGGATCTGCTCTTTCTTCTTTGGATATAGCAGTGAATGAGACAAAGTTCTCTTCTTCATGAGCTTAAAATCTAATGGGAAAGAGAGACAAAAATAAAAAATTATATCATATATATTGACATTTTCCAAGGATTAATTTAAGCAAATAAAAAGAGGGATAATAGTGTAGCAGGACCAGCCACAGACAAAACCTCTCAGACACCAAGTTGTAGAAGGAAGGATTTTATTCAGCTGGGAGCATTGGCAAGCTACCATCTCAAAATCCGAGCTCCCAGAGTGCACAATTTCTGTCCCTTTTAAGGGTTCACAACACTAAAGATTTCATATGAAAGAGTAGTGACTGATTGAGCCAGCAGGGCATTCGTGACAGGGGCTGCATGCACCAGTGGTCAGAGTGAAACAGAACAGGGCAGGGAGTTTCACAATGTTCTTCTATACAATGTCTGGAAGCTATGAATAACATCGGTTTCTAAGTTATAAGTTGATTTTTAACTACTGGGTTTAGGCAAGGCAGGCCCAGGCCTGGTTTTGGGCCTGGTGCTGGGCTGCCTGTCTTTGGTTTCACTTCCTTGTTTTTGCCTTAAAACAGGTATTGAGTATGAAACAATATGAGAGGGTCTCTCTCTTTCCTAATTTCCCCCCTTTGAGGCTCTCACTTCTTATTAGTGGGAGTTCTCACTCTTATTTTCGCTACTTATGTCTTTTTGTGCAATAGATTGATAGTGATTCATATAGTACACTTGTGCTGAAGCATTTTGGTGAACTAAGGTAGTGATGAAGCTTTTTTATCATTTGAGGAAGTATAGGTATCAGACAAGGGAGCAGTAAGCAGGTTTCTATTACTATTATTACTCTTATTATAAGAGTTTTAAATCCTCCTATTGCTGGGAACCAATTTCTAAACATGGCTCCCAGATTAAGTCCATGCCACACTTGCATGGGTACATGTGCCAGTTTTGTTACATTTTTAGCTTCAACTACTTGCCCCGATCATCTATGTGTAGACAACAATTAGTAAGGTTAAATTTTCCACAAACTCCTCCTTCAGCAGCTAGGCAGTAGTCAAGAGCTAGTCTAGTTTGATAGATAGCATTTCTCATCATAGTTTCTTGCTGGGCAAGAACAGTCAAGGCTTGACCGGTTTTATTAGTAATAATTTTTAAAACAGCTTGTAACCGTATGATTCAGTTGAGCATGTAGATGGGGGTCTGATATCCCCATGAGCCATCTTGTGCCCAAGTGGCGGGTCCATAGTACTGTATGATTCTTTTAGGGGGCCATTCATCATCTCTTCAATCACCTATGGCTATGCTTCGTTTTTCATGGGAAGCATAGACTGGGAAGTCTGGAATGTTCGCCTGTTTTTATGGGCAGTAAGAAGAAAGATGGCTTAATGGTGCCAATTACACCGCTACCTGTTCACTGATCAGGCAGCTTAGCATAAACTGTGTCTACATATCCAGTATAACCCTGTGGGGGCTGTCCAGTCCCAGTGGAATTCTGGGTGGGTCCAAACAGTCTGCAGCTTTGGAAATTTACTGAATGGATTTCTTTCTGTGTAATTGGAACTCCATCATGTAACTGTTTTTGTGGTACTATTATACAGATTTTGAGCAAGACAACTAAGCCGCCCTACAGGATGAGTAAATCCTTTTCCTTCTCTAGCTATGCAATACTGTCTAATAATTGAGGCTTTTAGAACCCAAAAATTGTCAAGGTGGTTCTTTTGGGCCGGGAATTCGTCAGGAACTGGGTCTGTAAGAACTAATTCTCAGGCTTCCCATGGCCATTGATCTCCTGTTACAGTTCCTCCACAAACATAACATGAAGTGAATTTTAGAGACTGGGCTACATGTTCAGTTAATTGCAAAAACAAATTTTTACTTCTTTCTGGAATCTCAGGTACTGGCACATTTAGTTCATCATAGAAAGTCTGAAATACTGGTTCTGGAGAGCGTCTTTGAACCTCTCCTTTTATTAGGATGTTTACGCTAGGAGATCCTTTTCCATCAATGCCTAATGTTATGTATTTTCCTTTATTCTATTTTGAGTCTGAGGGGTTTGTGATTACCAATTTTAAAGGGTTGCAGCTCCCACTCATGCAGGAGGGGCTGACTTTTCCTTTTTGGAGCTAAACGGGATCTTTTTAATCTTCTTTTCAAGTAGCCCAAATGACACAAGACCGGTATTGACACATCTCACATAAATATGATTTTTGAAAGATATACTTATTTTCTGCCGTGTAACTTTTTTCCCAATCTAGAAAACTGCATCTTATCTCATGCTACTTACTATTAATCATGGCATGGGCATCAAATTTTAAGGTTACAGTTTTGAGGACCCCTCTTTCAATTCTGTTCCAACTATTACTTTACTTTTGTCCCTTAGAAAAGGACCAGTCCTTAGTCTTACTTCAAAGACTGTGATCATGGGAGGTTCAGAAGGGTCATAGCACACATTGGGCTGATCACTTCCTGGATTACATACTTTGTACTGGGTGTCATTATACAAACAGATTCCCTTTGGAGTTCCTAGGCATTCATAATAGCTATAAAATAAAAAGATTGCCTTAACTTGTCCTACCCCAGTGACCTGATGTATGCACTGAAGCCAGTTCTCTGTGTGGGAAGAAGCAGTGGAAGCTTTTAACACACAGGTCCATGTTATAAGGAAAATAAGTACCACGACGATGATTTTCCTCATGCTTGGTTTGGCATCCCAGGTCTCAGCGGCTGCAGGCTTCATGCCAAGTCAGCCACAAATGCCGTCCCATTATCTGAGCTATTGCGTAGAGTCAGTCCAAACCTAGGGATGAGATCTTGAAGAAGCACACGGGTTACTTCACGAGCTTTTTCAGTTCGTGTTGGATAAGCCTCCACCCACCTAGAGTAAGTACACACTAGAACCAGTAAATACTTGTTACCTCCGCATTTAGGCATGTCTGTGAAGTCCACTTGAAGATCTTCAAAAGGAGCCGCTCCATAGGCTCATATGCCAGGAGGCACAGAGAGTCCTTGCTTTGCATTGTGCTATCAACAGGTAAGGCATTGCTGCGCTACTCTTTTAGCAAGAGCTGGCAAGTGTGAGATGTAGAAATACCAGCCTAACAGTTTTTCAAGTGATTCTTGGCCTAAATGGGTAGTTTCATGTACAGCCAGCACGACTGCGGCTCCTAGCAGCTGTGGCACAGCTATTCTTCCATCTGGTAACTTTATCTATCCTTCCTTTATTGTTTGTCCTCCTTCTGCCTGAAGAAAATCTTTTTCCTCTTTAGAATAAGTTGGCACCTCCCCAAGCGTTTGAGGGAGTAGTGGGTCTGTGACTGATGCCCGATAAGGAGTAGATGATGCTTTTCGTGCCTCTGTGTCTGCTCGGGAGTTTCCTTGGCTCACTGAGGTGGAAACTCGCTGGTGTCCCCTGCAATGCACAAAACCCTTTGTGGTTTCTACACTGCTTAATTTCTTGTTGATATTTTATGTCTTTTCCCCCAGAATTTAACAGGCCTTTTTCTTTATACAATGCTCCATGTACTTGAAGGGTTAGAAAGGCATATCGAGAATGAGTACAGATGTTTACAATCTTACCTTCGCTGAGTTCCGGAGCCCGAGTGAGAGCAATGAGTTCTGCTTTTTGGGCTGAAGTGCCCTGAGGCAATGACTTAGCTTCAACAACATCATCCAAGGTTACTACTGCATAACTTGCGCACCTTTTTCCTTGGGAGTTGATGAAGCTGCTCCCGTCCATGTATAATTCCCAATCTACTGATGCCCATGGCTGGTCTCGAAGATCTGGTCTGCTAGAATACACAGAGTCCAACACCTCTACAAAGTTATGTTTAACAGGGCTGTCGGATACTGGGAGCAGGGTGGCGGGGTTTAAAGTGTTACAGACTTCAATGGTCATGCGGGGGTTTTCACATTAACAAGCCTTGGTACTTAGTTAATTTAGCATTAGTTAGCCAGTGGTGTCCTTAGGTATTCATCAGAGTTACCACCCCATGAGGGGCTGTTGTATTTAGGTTCTGTCCAAGGGATAGCTTATCTGCTTATTGTGCTAACAGGGCCGTTGCTGCCAAGGTTGTTAGACACGGAGGCCAGCCTTTAGAAACCCCATCCTGTTGTTTTGAGAGATAGGCCACTGGCCTTGGCCAGGGCCCTACAGTCTGGGTTAAATCTCCAACTGCTATTTTTTCTCTTTCTGACACATAGAGTGTAAAGAGTTTTGTCAGGTCAGGTAGCCTCAGGGCTGAGGCCGACATGAGTTTTTCTTTTTAACTCATGAAAAGCCCGTTGCTGTTGGTTTCAATAGATGTGGTTTATCTAATCTACATTTTTATTGACTGTCATCTACCAAAATACTGACTTAAATCCTGTAACTATTTGATTTCAAGCTTTAAATTGATCTGACATTCCTTGTGGGGCTCCAATTGCATCTAAATAGATGTGAGAGTTGAAAGACCTACAAAGGGCTTCTCTAGCTTTATGATGTCTTATTATTTTATTTTTTTCTTTTCTCTGGTTAATAAAATGCCAGGGTGAAAGGGATAGCCAAATGGACTAAAGCACAAGTGCCACTCTAGTTATTAGGCAGAATGCCTAGTAAAGGTCCACCACAATACCACTACACATCCGCTCGGGGATGAACAAGGGCTGGCTGATTGATAAGCATTTGAAAATTCTTAAGCTTATTGCATCCTTTCAGGTCTCCAAGGAATGCTAAGTTTCCTCCCTGCTGTGAGAGACACGAAGTGAACTTAGTGTTGGGAGACAGAAGCTGGATGGCCCTCAGGGGCTGACCCGCACGGACTTTGGGATATAGCAGAGAGAGCCTGGCATGACTTATTACTCCAGGCTATAGAATCCTGGAAAAGAGCCCATGCCTGGTTGACTGGAGGACCACCTTAGTGGAAGTGGGACAGTCAGGGCCTCTGGTCTGCCATGTGCACAAGCAAACAATTGGTTTTGTTTAACGTGCAGATGGAATATGTGATCCATTTTAACCAGGCATTTGCATTTTGGTATGCTGTCTTAATTGTCAAAGTTTGTTTTAAGTCTTTAACTTCTATGATCCTTTAGTAAAATGAATGTTTCCTTTAGCACCTATCTTTATTAGTTTTTAGACTAAAGAAAGCTAAACACCATTTTATATTTAATAATGCTTCTTGTATGATTTTTATACCAGATAAGCTAAATTTTACCTTTATATTAGTGTGTTATTAATGTTAAACTTAATTTTAATAAAGCCTTGTAGACATATTTATCCAATTTTTCATGTTTGACCATAAGGTAAGATTTTATAGACTCTTTTTAACCTTTTATAACTTATGTTAAAGAGCAGGTTGATGCTTTAAGAAAAACCTATTGCATTTTTACTTTAATGTCCAGTTCACAGAAAAACTGGATGATACCTTTTTAACTTTAACTAATATGTTTACACACAGAATTTTCTTTACAATTAACATTTTAAAACTTGCTTAAACCTTCAAAACAATAATTTTTTAAACCTTTTAATGTAGGTAAAAATCCACATTCTTATGCCTCCTTATAATCTTTTTACTAAAGGTATATTTTACTTTTCTTATGCACCGTGCACATAAACTGTTTCTTCAGTAGTACTCAGGAGGCCTTATTACTTTTAAATCATGCAACATTTTTTGCATAATTTTTTTTCTTTCATGACTTTTGCAGACAATTTTTCGACATATCTCAACTTTCTGATTTATTACGAACTTTTTTCTTTAAACAACCAGTTAATTTATTTCAGGACAAGAATTTAACATTTAACATTCCTTTTATATAAATTCTGCTTCCCCCTTTTTTCCCTTTCTTGAAATTTTTTAACATAATTCCTAGTGGAGTGGGCTAATTTGTGTCTGACCCATGCTTCTTTGAGACAAAACACCACGCTCACAACCACACGCACACCACAAAACAAAAAACAGGTAAAAAGGGCACACCCACACTTGTGCAGTTTACACCAAACCAAAATCAAAACCAAAATCAGAGTATCCAGAAATCCAAGCCAGGTCAAAACCAAAATCAAAGTATCAAGCAACATAAGTCAAGTCAAAAACAGAAACCAAAGTGCCGGTACAGGCACACCGTGGGTGATCAGGCCACACTTCTACTCAAATGGAGTAGGCAAGTTCCCAAGACCAGTCCTGTCAAGCAATTCAAACCAAGTCAAAATCAAAACCAACACCAAAGTGCCAATAAAGGCATGCTGTGGGTGATCGGGCCACGCTTCCACTCAAATGGAGTGGGCAAGTTCCAGACTAGTCTTACCAAGTTTTAGATGTCCAGACTCCAAGTACCAGTTCCTTCCCGGTGTTCAGCCACTGTGCTAATCCTCCTCGGGGGCCTGCTACGTGCTGCTCTGGTGAGGCGTTCCACTGGGGCAATAGCCTACCCGGGAGTGCTCTTTGGATCGTGTCACTCAGGCTGGCTGGAGTCCCCCCACGGGGATGCTCCACAAGACAGGCGTAAGCCGCCTAAGGGGGCTGCCTCAGCCCTCCGTCTGTTACCTTGCTTCCCAGTCAGGGAACCAAGAAATGTAGCAGGACGAGTGGCAGACAAAACCTCTCAGACACCAAGTTGTAGAAGGAAGGACTTTATTCAGCTGGGAGCATCAGCAAGCTACTGCCTTAAAATCCGAGCTCCCCGAGTGCACAATTTCTGTCCCTTTTAAGGGCTCACAACACTAAAGATTTCATATGAAAGGGTCATGATTGATTGAGCAAGCAGGGGGTTCGTTACAGGGTCTGCATGCACCAGTGGTCAGAGTGAAACAGAACAGGGCAGGGAGTTTCACAATGTTCTTCTATACAATGTCTGGAGTCTATTAATAACATCGGTTTCTAAGTTATGAGTTGATTTTTTAACTACTGGGTTTAGGTCAGGCAGGCCCAGGCCTGGTTTTGGGCCTGGTGCTGGGCTGCCTGCCTTTGGTTTCACTTCCTTGTTTTTTTCTTAAAACAGGTACTGAGTATAAAACAATATGAGAGAGTCTCTCTCTTTCCTCAGTAGTGCCCGGGTAAGACATTATTTTATATAGGAAAGTCAAGGAAGGACTTACTGAGAAGGTGACATTTGATCAGAATCCTGAGTGAAGTAAGTACCCAAAGTAGAAAGAAGACCAAGTTCAACGACCCTGATGTAAGAAGATGCTTGATGTAGCAGAGAAATGACAAGGTGTCCAGTGGGGCTGGAATGAAGTAAGTGTTGTGGGACAGTAATAGAAAGTGAAGTCAGAAAGATCATAAGAGCAGATATCCAGGACCTTGTAGGACACTGAGATGAATCTGAACTTTTGTTTTGAACAAGAGTGGAAGCCACTAAAGGGTTCTGGTCAGAGGATTGATACATAACTTTAAAAGAATTACCTATATACTCTATCTGCTTTGTTGAGAATAAAAGGCTACTGATCAAAGTTGGGACTCTAGTTAAAGCAGGTGATTGATCATGTTTGCCTTGGATTAAGGTGGAAGCCATCGAAGTGAGGGTTGGTTGGATACTGGAAATATTTTCATGACAGAACAGGAAAAGTCAAGGCTGGAAACAGATTTGAGAGTTGTCAGTGTATACATGATAATTCAATCCACAAATCTACATTGGAACACCGAGGGAGTAAATGTAAATAGGAGAAGAAGAAGTTCAGAACTGAACAATTTATGTTTACTCTTTACCATATTCAACGCTTTTATAGAATCTAAAGCTAAGATTCCTTTCTGTTCAAAGTTTAGGATGCCTGGAGTACCTATTGGCAGGAAGAAGTAATAATGAGTTTTAATGACCATACTTAAGGTGGGATCATTAAAGTCCATCCAGCTTTTTAACTTATTTTAGAATATAATGTGGTAGATTGTCTGCTGTTAACTTGGCATCACACCACATCCTTCTGTGGTCTCACAGAACTACGTTTTCCAGAATTTCCTTCCTTGAATATTTCCAGGGTAAAGTCGGCCAAGAAGAGACAGTCACCTGAACTGGAAGGGGAAAAGAGCCCTTGATTCTCTAGAGGCATTTAGGGTAGACTCTTGAGAGGACAGTGATCTTTAGGTTTGTAACACTTGAGGTTTACAGCACTGAAATAACCACTGATCAAAGTTTTGTTCATCTAATTTCATGTTCTTGTATTGTGAATTTGTCATGAAGTGTGTTAAGCTGATAAAAGGCTCCAAAGCTAATCCATAGTATTATTTGATAGTTTCCATCAGAAAATAAATTACTCAATTAGGCTATCAAAACACAAAATTCACCTTATAATCGTTTATATCATTTATGTGATACCTTTATAATCACAGTTATGAGATAAATAGATCCTGGAAGAAAATATAGAAGTATTTTTATTTTTTATCTTTCTGTATTTTCTAAATGTATTATTTTTATATTGGGGTAACTAGTAGATTTTTAAAAATTTGTAAGAAAAATATTTGAAAATTAAATATGTTTTAGGCTTATGAAGGTGTTTTCATTTTACTTCATATTATCTAGAAATGCTTCCTCTCTCTCTCTCTATATATATCATATCATTAATTTGTATTCTGTGCTTAAAGAATCTACTAAGACAAGATTAAATTCATCTTAAGCCTCATCCTCTGCACAAAATATGCAAAATCTGAAAAAGTAAGATTTTAAAAAGAAAACAAGTGAAGTGATTGATATAGACAGATGAAAGTTGAAATGAGGTCTGAACAATGTTTCTCTCTGCTTCACCCACTCATCTCATTAATGTGTCAAATTCTTGGAAGCAGTAAGCACAGAATCAGGATCTGGCTATTCCACATAGACAGAGTGTTTGCTCTTCTTGTAGAAATTGCATTGTTATTTATTATAACCATCCAAAATTAACATCCTACTGAGATCTTTATTAGAACAAATGGATTTTGAGGACTCTTTTGACATATTATTTCTGAAGTGATGAAAAGTAGCCTCTATTGTCCATTGCCCTCACAAAAGGAAATAAAGGGAACAGGTATAAAGTCTGACCCATGGTTGCATTCTGAATATCACCTTTATGTTATTTCTAAATATAACTTTCCTCTGAAACACTTCTGCAAGATTTGCATGGAGTATTTGGGGCCAGTTTAGTAAGAGCTGGTACATGTTTCCATCATTTCCATGAAGCCATAGGGGATCAGAATATGCCACGTCAAAATATGACACTTTGGCATGAAAATTCTTATGAGCTGGAGGCAAAAGAAAATCCACACATGCAGAATTAAGCCTTCTCAGAGCTTCCATTACATAACTAGAGGCAGAAGCTTCTGAGAAATGAGGCCCGCCACAAATCCCCTCTTTCCAGCAAGTTTTATGGTCCTGAAGAAGATAGAAATTTGGCTACCAGATGGTTCTGCGTAAACAAACCTTGCTAAGATACTCCTTACCTTACATCTGTTTCCCCCATATATTTACCTTCCCGAAGTTAGCAACCTCTGGAAGCCTAAAAACTTGTTTTTTTTTGGTCTTTTCAGTTTTGTACAAATATTGATCTTTGTTAAGATGCTCTATAAATCCAGGTTTTAAACACTCCTTTGAGTTACTCATTACTGAATTTCTCTTGCAGGCTACACATGTTAATAAAGTATTCATTTTTCTCTTGCTCATATGTCTTTTGTCAGTCTAATTTGC